TGAACCATTTTACAGCAGCTTTAATTTTAAATTTTACGATGCGGGTGGGAAACTGGAAAAAAGCCAGTCTTTCAAACACCACTAATTTAAATTATCCAAACAAATTAGCGTAAGTTTAGCTTGAAAATTCTAATCATTTTTCGTGTCCATCAATTTTTGTCTAAGGTCAACCCAAATTAAAACAAACGCGTTTAAAAATTCCAATTCTAATCATTTTGTTCAGATAATTTATATCAGCACTGTATTGTTTTGCGTGGTGAGCTTGAAATTTTTCAGAATCTTTGTAAAAATAAAAAGATAAGGAAAACAAACTCAAAAAAAAAGCTCAGAGTGATACCTCGTCTGCCAAAGTGACCACTGAGTTTGGCCTTCTTTCCTGTGTCCATCTTGCGGATGAGGAAGTCGAACTCACTGAACTTGGCCTTGTACCCTCAGGAGGAGCTGCAACATACAAACAGCTTCAGATAGAATATAGATAGCACCAAAAATATCTTGATTCCTTGGTACGCATTTTATAAAAAGACCACCGTCAAAAGTCAAAATGAGACAAGAAACTCGAGTGTGTGTGGGGGAGGGGGAGGAATAAAAAGAGTTTGTTCTTTCGTGCTTAGTTCTTCGCCTTGATTTCAGTTTCACATCACCTCCATAATTTCTATGTACCGACAAAAAATGTCGGTCAAATTCAAATTTTTTGTTTCTATCCTCTTCGTTTTAAATCGTTTATCATCCACTTGATCCCATTGGTATGCTTTTTCATAATTTTTAACAGCAGAAGTCATTTTAATTTGCATTCAAAATTTTTGCTGACGTATGAGCCTCCTTTTGTACCAACTCTTCGCATTCCCAATTGAAAAACCACAAAGCGGGAGTTATAGTGAAGTCAATGTTTAAATCGAGCATCAACCCACCAGTATTCGACTATGATGTGCTTGGTTCCACCGGGAGAGCCAGAGTGGTGGCTCCGATTCGGACTCTGATGTCTCTGCATTTTTAATTTCCAGTAAACTAGGCTTCAAATAATGTTTTTCTTGGTTTCTACTCGTATTTTTGGCTCTTTTTCCTTTTTCCCCCACCTGCAAATTTTTACATGTAAATTTGTTGACCCCATTGTCTGATTGTTATGAAAAATTACATACAGACTGATAAGGCCACGACAAACATATTGGTCTTCATACTCAAACTCGTAAAACCACTCGTTACACTTATATATTGAAGCTCGTGCGAGGTGGGGAGAAAAAGAAAAAGAGCCTTATTTTTTTTCAATTAGCAACCGCAAAAAAATTGAATTAAATTAAATTCTTGAATTAGTTCAGCACGTGTTTCTCAGATTTGATTCTATAACAATTCGGAAATAATCTTTGGATTTTTGACTCTTTCTCACTAGACCGCTCCGGATCTTTTGTTTCCCGTCCGTCGTATAAATAGATAAGCTGTCGGTTCTTTTTCGTTTTCCCCACCACCTCACATAAACATGAGCTTTATTGTGTAACGAGTGGTTTTACAAGGTTAATTATGAAGACCGAATATGTTTGTCATAAACTAATTAGTCCCTAATGATGTCAATTTTCAAAACAATCGATCGATGTGAACAAAATGTTTACTTGTAAACTTTTGAAGGTGGGGCGGAAAAGGAAAAAAAGTCAAACTGTCTTAAGACTTCCCCTCCTCCCTCACCACCAGCAACTTTTTACAGAGAAAATGATCATCACGCGAACCGGTTATTATTAAAGTTGAAACGCTGATTGATGAAGCCATGCCAAACAAGTTTCGACTTTACAATTTACCTTGTAAAACCACTCGTTATGCTCGTTAATTCTTTAAATAGAAGAAAACAGAAAAATATCCATCATTTGAATTTTTAATTAAAAATGTTTCTTGAGAAAAATATGAGCAAATTAAACTTTTCCTCCAGATTTTTTCTTAACAAAATTTTGCATGCTGAAAAGCTTTGATCAATTTCTTCAAAAAGGTCTCCAATACAGAGAAAAAAACTAAAAACAATACTGCTCGTAAATTAAGACGAAGTCCTGAATGTCCTGACTGCACCTCAAGCTAATTAAAACGTTTTTGCTCAAGAGATTGACGAAACAATAAAAAAAACGTTTTTTTTGTTTTTTAAAATTTATCCCCCGCACTGAAATGTTATTTCCAAAGGAATGAATTAAGAGTAATGTATCCTTATAAAACGACCAAATAATCTAATTCTATTTTGAACGCATAGATCCTCCGATTACGGGTGTTGTAGGAACGCAATATATTGCACATTACGAATTCCAAGTTTGCAATTTTCAAACCCCAATCAATTTACAAAAAATGATCATAGATGAATTATCTTTTTATAATTGAGCTGAAAAAAACAGTATGTTTCAGATAGAATCAAAAAATTTTGTCAAACATTTTTGGTTAAGAAGTCGAAAACTGACTGAATAAAATACCACCCCGAGCATAAATATCCAGCACTTTCTTCGAAAATTAGATAAAAATCGAGTAGTGGACAAATATACGCAAATTGCTGGTCAAGTAAATTTGTTTATTACTAGAGTGTGCCAAGAAATGGAATGGGTTGCCTCAGAACCCTAAATGTGAATGAAGAGGACTGCTCGAATCGGGGCACAGCCCTGAAACTTCCAACTGCCATAACAGTCGGAATTAATTCAACCATAAGCTGCCTCAATGTAATTTGGAACAATTTTGTAGTGCCGGATAACTCGCCACGCGTGTTAACTATAAACAACGAGCTGTTGGATCAAACTCGTGTTAGGATTTTATAGTTGCGTGCACATCCAGTTTGGCCCCTTCAGATAAAGCGATCGCTCCTTCAAGGGACCACAGGTTTATAGAATTGTTTTGAATAAAAAAAACTACCCAAAGCACATATATTCCTCAGTTTCTTCGAAAGTCGGAACAAAAAAGAAAACATGTAAGAACGATACTATTTAAGATATTCAATTTACCAGAAGCGAAAAACGATGATTGATTTATGTCCGATTTTCTGTTTAGAAACGAATACTTAAATCGAATATGTTTTAGAAAATAACAAGTTTTCATGTTTCATATGCTATTTTATAAGTTATTTTATAACTTGTAGCATGCATATTTTAACCTTCGTAATAGATAAAAACTCACTTGTTTGATAAGAAAATGATGTCTAAAAGAAATGGTTGAATGTATCTTCCTCAAAAATCTTCCGAAAACGATGACAGGTAATCTTCAAAAAGCCCAAAAGTGATCGCGTATAAAACCTTTTTAACCTTTTTAATCTAAAAACTTGATCCGAAAAAAACAGTCTCTAGTTGTCGAGAAATTACAGATTAAAACTTTTGAGTTTTGGACCATCTGGAGCAAAGTGTGGGTAAAACTCTTAAGTTCGGCGATCAAATTCATTTTCAGATTTCACAGCGTAGCTAGGTCAGACTTTTTCAATAAAAAAGCTCTTTAACAATTGGGGTTGTGGGAACTTTCAATGCAGAGTGAACGGCTATTAATGTTCCACTTCACATGCAGCTTAGCTAAACTAGTTAAACTTAATTGTTACCAAAATGGTTCTTGCTTCGTTTTATTTTCGTTGAATTATAATCAAAAATAGTTTTTAAAAGCCGTCGCGGTAGGTTCAGTAGGAATTTTTTTCAAATATTAAGTTAAAACAAAGGTCAACGAACCAAAAATTTGGAATGTAAAGCAACAAATTTGTGGGAAAAATGGGCTACAAGAAGCTTATCAACAATCGCAAGCGTTTGCTTTTCGCTTTTGATAAAAAATTCTACTATTTTTTCAAGATTAAATGTCAATCAATATTCGATTTGACAACTTGACTAACTTTCTCACATTGTTCACGAAAAAGTTGTTCTCGATTTTTTCAATGCAACTGTGTTGCATGAAATTTATGCAATTTGGGAAACTTTTCATTTTTATGCCATTTGGGAAATTTTTCATTTTTATGCTATTTGGGAATTGTGCCATTTCAGACGTAATCTGTAATCAGTAATAAGTATCGATCAAAATAAAATGAGTTATCAAACGCGGCTTCATCAACTTTTACCAAAATTCTAAGGAAGCAAACTCAAAGAAAACTCATGAATCAAAAATTCTTAGAAGCTAAAATTTTTGAAACTTTTTCGACGCTAGTTTTTCGGCAAGTTTTTCCCAATTCATTATTTACAGGCGCTGCATAGCTGCTACCTTACGATTTGCACAAGTTTGGCACCATGATGGCGATTTGTTTGGAGGGCAAATCTGTGGTTGAAATTTTTCCCAAGATAGTGGTTTTCAAATAATGACTTCTTAGCTAGGTGTCTAGTTCCAAAAGAGTTCATTGTGAAAACAATAACTTTCAAACCAAATGTTCGACCGCAGATTCAAAGTATGAAGGAACACTACATTCAACTAATATCTCTTCTTCAGATTTAGTTTGGTGGAGTTTAATTTTTCTCAGATGAGCAAACAAAGGGAGTTGATGAGAATTGTCTTTTTGAAGCTTGAGGTCTCTGCGTATGTCTTCTGGTATGTTTTGAACTTGTTCTGTCGCACACTTGCTCGGATCCACCGTTTTAATGACGTCATTCAGATAATTCAATCTAAACCAAGAGAGTATGAATAATTCAATATCTTACATTTAAAATGAAATCCATCATTTTAATGCCATGAATTAATTAGTCCGGTCATCCTATGAATTTTACCTAAATGGACAATTGTTCAAACTTTCCCAGGTCGAGTTGCTGAAATTATGTTTCGACTTTCTCGACCAAAAATCGGTATGTTCGACCATTTGTTCACCAATCAAATTAAAACAACGATAGCCGGTTGCTTTGCAGAACATTGCTATCATAGTCTTATGAAAATACAAAACAAAAGTTTATTCAAATTAGTGTCGTTTTTCTGCGTGATGTGGAAAACTAGAATTTAGGCATATTCGACAATCATAGTAAATGTTCAAATTGGACAACAGTCGTTTTTGAAGAAAAAAATAACTAGAAAAACAATAAAAATATCATCAAAAAAATTCACAAATCGGTGCTGAAAAAAAACTCCAAAACTAACATTACTCAAAACAAGTTTTCACCGCTTAAGCTCACAGCTTGATCGCCTTATTTTGCTGGAAATCAAACGGGTTTTTCCCGACAGAGAAATATTTAAAGATTTTCAAAGTTTGTTCGAATCACGACTGAAAGCGATTCAATATGATATATCACTCGACCCATACCGATGATTATTATAAGTGGAACCTAACTTTAGGTGGAAAACAAAAAAACTAGAAAAAAAACACCCGAATGCAACGCTCTTCAGTATTTTCAATAATCGAAACAGCAAAAAAACGCATACAAACCACCGTTCTGTTGCTCTTAGACCATAAAAACATCGTAGACCTTTTTAATGCTACTAGCCTGTGACTGTACAAATGGTCTCCTAAAACCATCCATTTGTGCTTCAGTGCAAACATGTTCACGATCCCGTCTGCAACACCGTCCACAAGAAGTGATGCGTGAACTCTGTTTCCGAAGATAGACTTCAATGTTAGAACAGATTCTACAAAAACTCTAAAATCCCTAAGGTCGTTTCAAACCACCTGCTATTTTTCTCACCAATTTTTTTTGTTCCCATTGTCCGATTATTAAAAAAATGGCTTGCGGGCTAATAAGGGTTTGACAAGTATTTTTGGTGTTTATACTAAACCTCGTAAATCCCATCGGTTGTAATTTTGACATGTGTTTTTAGAATATTATTCCTATGTCAAAATTACAACCGTGAACCTCTAGTAGTTGCAGAGAAAACGGCTCCAACGTAAAACTTTTTTCGTTCATTTCATCGGCTGAAAATTTAAAGTTGCAAATTCTACGTCTCATGACTTCAAATTTTTTTTAAAATGTTTTAATGTAAAAAAAACTTTCTCGAGAAATCCAAATTGCAGTATTTTGTTCAGCAGGTGATTGATAATTATCTGCGCTGCTGATAATTTCGTTACGAAATTTAAGTAAAGTTAGAAGTCTCGGTAAAATCATGTCTAGCCTGGTCTCAAATTCGACTCGACCTTGTCTCGACAGGACTTTACCGCATTTTATTTCGACTCAAAATTGAACACAGCGAGAGACCTCTTCTGAAATCCTAGATACGCCTCTGTTACAAATATTACGTTTTTTGTTCTACAAAAGCCTGCTAAGAGTTGATTTAATGGCCTGAATATAGTATAAAACATCCACATTTTTACAGTTCAATAATTTTTTTTACAATTTTCCAACGGGGCTTAATTTTTCTCTATTTATTTTTCTCAAGTACAATTTCCCTAAAACTAAGTATATGCTGGCGCCCAAAAAACAAATGAATAAAATCTTCAGTAAACATTTAGGAGAACTTGGTCGACAACGAATGAATGATGAAAAACGGTACGAAAACATCGCATTTTTTCTTCCATTGTAATCTATCTTCCTGTTCCCATTGTGACTCCGAATTGCGAACTGTCCATTCGACAATTGCACTTTGTCTTTCCTTATTGCAGTGGATGAGACGCTGTAAGTTTGGACCAGTTGGTTGACGTCGTTTATTTTCAACCTACGAGCCCAAAATTTGGTAAGCTCTTCTAATTCTGCTCCCACGTTTCCCGGGATGTGGCCGACTAAAACAAATAATTTTTCGTCAAGCAAAATGATTAGTATTGCCCCACATTATTTTTTTCTAAAAACCGTTTTAGTATTATAATGTTTCAGTTCAAAGAAAAAGTTTCTATCTAGCAGTAGCATACTTAGAATTGTGTCCACCTCAAAGCTCTTCCTCTTGGCGCCTGTTTTCTCCTGTAGTTGAGGAGGAGGCAGAGATTGTCAGGTGAAAATGCAAAAGGATGTCCCTGCCGTGGACTCTACTCAAATGTACACAAAAAGGAAACCTTACTCTTTAGATAACACAAAAAAATTACAAACTTTAAGTAATTGTTAGAATTTTTCGACTCACAAAAATTTTTCAAAAAACTTTTTCGGCAAATTTAGAAACAAACATTTAACGAATTTAAAAATTCATTGATCGGGAAAATTAGAAATAATAGAATTGAGCTGATTGTATGACTAGAATGGTGATTATATGACTATCTCTGCCTGGTGGAATCTCCTTCGGATGTCATTGCACACTCTAGCATTTTTGGCAAGTAGCATCACTCCAGACATGGACTGAGGAGCACTCTTGGCAAGATAGAAACGATGAGAGGAATCTAGATGGACTTGCAGGCTCTTCAGGAGTGACGCATCGGATGATAGGAGGTCATGACGCTGTCGAGCGAAAGGTACTGGAAAGAGAGCATGGTAGTAAATAAAGCCATGTGCAGTAAATCAAGAAAGATCTATAATTAGTAAGAAGATTCTAGATAGATCTATAAATATGATTCTAAGTAATCTCGGCAATCACATCATTTTTAAAAACTGATGATGCGACACACTTAATTTTTTTTTACCTCATTTATTATTTTCTAGTTTGGGCAAATTATTATCGGTCATAGCAATTGGTATGAAACAACAAAACTTCTGAAATTTTGAATTTAAAGCAAGCACATGCAACTAACACACTTCCTACAAACCCTTCTTAATTCTGAGAAAGTTAAGCATCAAAAGTAATAACTAATTACTTCAACAAATTAGTTCCGCTTAGTACAAAAAAATCAATAAGGCTGCTCGTATCAAAATTTGGAATCATCGAAATTTGTCCAAAAAAGCACAACTAACCAAAATTTTTCCTTACTTTCCTCGAAAGCCGGATCAGTAAGTAGATGACTTTCAAAGAAATTGTGAATTTTCACAATCGGGTGGTTTTTTCTTCAGACCATTTTCAGTAAGCAAATTGGAAAAATGAACAAATTTTCGGCCTGCGGTTGTTTTGGAAAATGCAAAATTGAGAAAATTGCCAATCTGGACAAATTAATGCACAGATTGATGGAAAACTCATAACTCCAACATTAATACACAAAATGCGTAATTAGCCAATAAATCCGCAATTTGAAGTTAATCCGAATACAAAGAAACCACTTTTGGTAACGCATATTACCCAAAGCAGGCTTGTTGAATGCAATGAGTCGATCATCCTCCATGACTTTATTCTCCATGAGAAATTCAACATACTGTTGCTGGGACATTTCAGAAGGAGCTGGAACACCACGTCCCAAGTGTTTCAGAAGTTTAGGCATATTCCTTAGAGCAGAAGCCTCCATTGTGGTTTGAGTCAAATAGTGACAGACAACATATCTGAAAGAAAAGCTGAAAAAACACACTTTCTCCAAAGTAGTGCAATTAGCCATTCGCTATGCCAGCTGAACAAATTTTTCCAATTAGAGTTAGAATTGTAACAAAAATAGATAAGCAACAAGAAAAAAATATTTTTTGAAATTTTCTTTCGAAACTTTCAACTTACTTTGCGCTAACCCACAGCATATTAAGCATATTAACTAATTACTCATGTTTTACAAATAAGTGATACTTTAATTTTAACTATATTGCCCTTTTCAACAACGCACTTCAATTTAAACAAACATTTCAGAAAAAAGTTAATGAGTTGAAAAAATACGGTCTGATTATTTTTGGCTATTCAGATTCAAATCTAGGCAAAATTTTTTTGCAAGTCATTCAATAAATATTTTAGATAAGAATGAAACTCAATAGCAAAAATTTAGCTCATATTTTGCAAATCTGCTTAAATTGCAAGTTCATTGAAGGCAAAATGTTCAAGATTCACTAAATTGTCCGTTTTAAAATTTTTCAGTTGCTTTCAGATCTCTTTGTTCATATAGCAGACAACGAAATCATACATAATGATGTGACAAATCAATGATTTATAAAACATCAGCTTTGAGAAGGCGTAAGTAAAGGTGAAGTGTTCCTTTTAATCAAGGCTAAAATTTTGCATGTTTTGCCGAACTGCATTTGTATGGCTACTCCATCTTAATTTATCGGCAGTCATTATTCCCAGAACCTTTTGCCGATGCGAATATTCACGTTTTTCGAATTCAAATCGTATTGTTTTTTGTTTATTCCATTGCAAAAAATGAAATTACATTTATTGAGGCCGAAAATCATTCATCAAAATATTTGCAATAGCTTTGCATGATTACCAAACATGGAAGGTTTTGATTTCAAGTGTTGATCAAACCAAAAATATAGAGGAACAACAGTGGGCCAAGAAATGAACCCTGCGGCACCCCGCTTATAACAAATAGTTACTCTGAAACTTAATCATCAATTTGCACGAACTGATGAATTATTTACCACAGATAGCTCTCAAGAACTTTGATATTATGATTTTTTCTCTGAATCTGTATATCGAGCACTTTCCAAATAGGATCTCATGGTTCACAGTATCAAAAGATTTTGATAAATCAATAACTGTGCAAAAACTATTTTTTCTCATTTGACAAAATTTTTTCAAATGATTCAAGAATTTTCCCAATTGCATAAATTGTTAATCGTTTTCACCAAAACTTGTTTTTTTTTTAAAAAAACTTTTCAATTTTATAAAGAAATCAAACAATTCTCCAGTATAAACCTTTTTCGGATGCTGGTAGAAGTGATATCTGTCGAAGCTGAACAGATCGCCGGATTAATTGCTCGTATGAAAAAATTTGAGAGTCTGAAGCCAGCAATCGGGACTTTTTTGTTTTGCAAACTACCTATGGTTTCAAAATTTTCCCGTTCTGTCACTTCCGATAGATAAAAAAATTCACCACGGTTTTTACACTCCATGTATTCCTTTTTTTAGTAGGCTACCTTTGTTTATCATAAAGGTCGACAAAACTGTCGAATATTTGATGAAATCCGAACTCCCCTTCGAAAAAACCCTCGATTGGCCCCTGTCATGCACCAATGGTTGCACTTGAACAAGCGGATACAGTGTATACCATTTAATCGCTCGCCATATAAATTTTGATCAGTTTACAGTAATACTGAAGTTAAACACTTAAAAGCGAGCCCGAGTTATAACACTAGTTTGCTTGTGTAAATTGATCACCAGACCATGCACAGCCAAAATAAATGGTTACCATGAGAGAGTAACGCTGAAATACATCATACAAGATTTTAAAAACTTTTCCTTTATTGCTCGATTAGTAAGAAAATAAGTGATCAAAAAGAAACATTCATATATCAGCTATTGCTCGATGCTTTCCTGGCGAAATAACAATTGCGAACAAAAGGACTGAAATTTATTTGTTAGTACAGTAACAATTTTTCGTTCATTGTCACATTTTTTCGTTCATTGAAATATGAACCAAAAATGGTTACCCACTAATAGTTTTGACTTCTGTAGTTAAATCGCTTCAACTAGTTTGCATCAGGCAATTGGGGTTCCCTTTTTGAAGAACATACGTATAATTGCTGCCTCCAGCAAACTCTTTTTAAACTTATTCCTGAAATTGAGTTCAAAAGCGAAATAGTTGGCGTCATTTGACTTAAATTAAAGTTATTTATCGTTTAACCTAGCTCTTATCAAGTTGAACGGCCGAGGGTTAATGTTGAGGTTTTTGGCCAAAAGATAGCGGTTTTCAGCAGTTTTCCTAAAAAACAATCGATATGGGATCCTTACTCCTTGCATTGAAAATAGACGCCATAAACACCAAAGATAGCCTTCCGAAGTAACAAGCCTTGAAACGGGTTGTTTAACTTGTCCAAAACCAACTGATTTTCGATAAGTTTTTGAATAGCTAACTTTGATAGGCTATTATAAGTTTCGGCAATTCGACTCATTATTAATATTCACATAGATTCGGATGTTAGATCTCACAAACAGTTTTTGAAAATGAAGAAGCACTCAACTGACTCATAGCTCTTAGTCGACACGGAATAAATTTTAAGGTTGCATATCAAGCGCAATCAGTCTCAACCCTAAGATCATGCAACTTCTGACAACAAAACATTCGACAATCGCTTGTATTGTCAGTTTGCTTAGTTTGGGAGCAGAAAACAGGATTCCAAAAGCTAAAACCGGAACCAAATGTCAACCAGCAATCATTCGATGAGTGAGCAGCACAAATTCAACAAAAGATTTTGCATTCCCGAGCTGATTTGCTCCAGAAACTGTCCAATTCAACACCATCTTATCTTTATCAGAGTCAGAGTCAATTTACAATATTTTAAATTTAGAATAACTATCCACCTTTGAGCTGTTTTTAAAATTTTTGATTCATCTCGATATTTCTGCCATCAATTTACAAAAGATAGCCGGTTACTGTGCAAGTAGCACAGAATGTTCCGACCATAGTATTACAAAATACAACTAAGTTTTTTGAAATTATTGTCTTTTATTTTCGGCGTGGTGCAAGAAAAGAAGCTGAACAAAAAACTGGGGACTAGATATATTCGACAGTCATAGTTAAACGAGCAAAAACAATTTTTGTAGAAAAACGTAAAATAAAAAAAATTTGATTCCTAAAGGCGCCAAAATACTCACAGTAAACTAACTTTACTCAAGTTAGAAAAAATAAGTTTTTGCGTTTTAAATTAAGCTATTGTAAGCTTTTAAGCAATCAAAATAAGGCTTTATTATAGCTTTATTCGCTCGAAAAAAAACTAAAAACCAAAAATTTCAAGCAGGTGTTTCTCGACAGTAAAAGTTTTGTGAAATTTTTAAAAGTATTTCGAATCACGAATTTAAGGGCTTTCATATGGTATATCACTCAACACAGTCCGATGATTATTTGTGATACCTGATTTTGCGTGGAAAACAAAAAGAAAAAACGAAAACACCCGAATACAAGTTTCCTCCCATTTTCAATGGTCGGAACAATAAAAAGTTTGATTTAACCATTTTTATGAAGACTATAGTGACGATATAAAAACTATTCATTTTTCCAATGCTTGTCTCAAATAACGTTCAGTGAGAGAAAAACACATTGCAACCAGATCACCGGTGTTTAATAAATATTAGAAACAATTTTATCGAGCGGTAAGTAACCGGCAAAAATTGCGGGAGCGCCCGTTGCCCCGAGAACAAAATTGTCGTCATTTAAACTCAGAGCTATAATGAGCTGATATTTTAAAACTTTACGCCTCTCTCCGGAATCGCGAACACATCAATGAATGCATTATATTTATAAACATAAACCGAAACCATTTAGACCGATTAAAGCTTTTCAGTTAAAACTGAAGAGAAAATCATTCCAAAACGGGGTATTCACAAATTGCCAGAATAAATCAAAAACACTAGAAAATTTCAAACAGGATAAATCCGTGATGATGCAACTAAGCCGACAAAGTGTAGTCAGACAGACGATAGGCCAAAAGTTTTTTCAGTTCGTTATCTCTAGGCTAAGGTTGCCGGATAATCTAAGGTATTTAAATTCATTTTCCGAAGATGATTTTTCAACCAATATGTCCAAAATGTCACTCCTGTTCAATCTCTGGCAAAAACTCAGCTATTTACTGGATTAGAAAAATGAATTGTGCTACTTCTACTCCTCTTTCCCGCTTCCTGAAAAGTGAAAATTATAAATGCGTTATGGAATTGTTTTCCGCTCTAACTCCGTAGTAATTAGAGCAAATAACGAATTTCAGGTGCCCACAAAATGGTTACATGTCAGTATTTAGACAACCGCGTATTCAGACTGGTCAGTATTTAGACAAATACTGTTTCAACCAATCAGAATCGAGACAAAGAAGAAATTAATAAATAATATTTATTTATTTTGGATTATTTATGTCTTTTCTCGATTCTGATTGGTTCATACAGTATTTGTCTAAATACTGACGAGTATGAATACGCGGCTGTCTAAATACTGGCTGCACTCCCCACAAAATTGATCTATCGTAAGCAATTTTTTCTTTTGATATCTACCAGGCTCAAAAATTCTGAAAAATTGCTGTGGCTCAGGATGCGCAAAATTTTTTTGAAGAACAAAATCAGAGCTGGCGCAAATCGGTTTGCATTAAATGCCGGATCAAAAAGTCCACATTGGAGCAGTTTGAGTAGTATCATCAATTTAGAACAAAATGCGATGGTTGTTTCTAAAGTCTAACAAAACTTCTGTCATTTAAAACACGATATTTTTCACTTGATTGTAATATTTTCAGCCAGAAATGCAAATCAATCTGAATAATATCATGCAACCCTCTACCAAAGAGCCGAGACCATTTATGTAAAGAAGGGTTCAAATTTGAGCAGGAACCCCCATTAATCCGCTACAGAATGTGGGAATAAGATATTTCATTCACTTCTTATTTTTCCTATGGACTTGACATGAATTATTTAGGCAACCAACCATCTGCCCACGCTTTTTTACAGATGTTTTTAGAGATGCAAAATTTCATGTCAGCAGATCTTGTTTTCCTTAAAATGACGTATTAACCAAACAACGATCTATTCAGCATCAATATCCAAAAATTTAGTTTCTCTATTTCCGTCAAATAGCTCTGCGGGAGCAATCAATCATCCTTTTTGACTGTAAAATTAGACAAAAGCGCAACATTCCTGAAATACGTCGAAATTGATCGCAACCCAGGTTGTTTATAACTTTAGTTACAGTCCAATTCCATTGAGAGCAAAAAGTCAACACTATAGGGGTCCCCTTTGCTCCTTTTCAGGCCTATGGACACTTTGATGCATTTCAGACTGTTTACAAACTTTCTCCGCGGGATCGTACTATTATTTGCCCAGCGGGGGCATTTTTATGGACATTATTCCTGGTGGATACTAAAGGAGTTCTGCTAGTAAAAGGGCAAAGAGAGGCGCGGAGTTAAGTAGCAAATATGCTCAAAGCAACCTGTAACCCAAAGACCATTACTCCATCAGTCTACTCTAATTCTATCAACTCTTTTTTTTTCTATTGGGTTCGCATTGGATTTACTTGGAGCGGGTAGTTAAAATTCCTTATGTAAATTTCTAAATCCCTTTTTCGACAAGTTTATTCTGCGATGTTGGCTGCCTTCCCTTTGAGATGCTCTAATTCCTACAAATCCGTTCTTTATTTCAACTATTTGCTTCTACTTGACTGGATTTGAATAAGTAACGAGGATCAGTCGATGCCTTCGCACGCACTTTTTAGCCCCGTCTGTAGGTTAACAACCACTAAACATTTCACGCAACACGAATTCATGATTAAATTTAACAACTTGCAAAGCTTAAACCCGAATCTAATTAGCAATTAATTATTTTTCATCCGTTTGAAGCAAAAAAAATATCGCACAAAAACACAAATCGGAACAAAGATTATATTAAAAGCTTGTCACTTATGTAAATAGTAATATATAGCATTTGAGATAAATTTGTAAACTTTGGAATTTGGCAGTTTCAACGGATAATCAACAGTTAACATTTTCAGGGTTGAGAAACGAAAAACATAATGAGCAATTGGGGTCCTGAACAAATAACACATTGGCACCTTTTGTGATACTCGGTATTTCAAAAGCGCTAAACCGTTCAAGCTGTATCAATCGAATCAATTTTGATTCCTGATTTAGTTACCACATCAGAATGCCTTCAAGCTGGTGAGAATTCGGTTGGATGGGATTATTGTGTTGTAAAAATGGGAGCTGATTTGAACTGTTGTGGCCAATGACCAAGTGTGAAGAACTGGTCGCTCCACCGATGTTCGAGTTGGCCGAAGGAGGTTCTATCTTGCAGGGATTCTGCAACAATGGATGTGGTGGATAATTTCTGTTTCCAGCTGTTAGAGCCGAATGTAGAGATGATATGGGTTCTTGATGTGGGAAAACTAGGCCTGAGGGCGGAGGTGCGTTGAGTGAGTGTGCGAATATGGGGGAGGCTAGATGAGGCGAGGCATTTGGCGCTGATTGATACATTGATGCTGCGGATTGAGGTGGTGTTACTTGCGCATTAGCCAATCTAGAAGCGAGCACCTCAGCTGCGGAATTACCATTTGTCGCTGAGTTCGGAGATGCGAAAGAGTTGATGTTTACGACGTTAGGCGGTGTCGGGACATTATCTGGGATATGGGGGTACCCTGGGTTCGCATGTGCACCCATCAATTGGGAAAACCTGGAGTCCACGTGATGAGAATTGGGCAAGACGTTCGCAAGAGACGCTGAAACTGACGCTGCCACAGACCCAATATCACCAATTGGACTCAGTAAGCCAGTAGATATGGGCATGTAGGGTTTCAAGTGATTTGGTGGTGGGTGGGGCAAGCCTTGCATTCCGGGTATTGAGAAGTTGTCTCTGAACAGAACTGGTTGAGATATTTGAGGCCCATAGCTCGAGTGAAACAAGCCGTGTTGCTGCATTGCAGCTGCTGCATTGCTATGAGCCGCCATTAAATCGGCGTCTGTGAATCCACTTCCGGGAGGTATTTCAATAGGCTGCCCCAAAATATTCGTCGTTGTCTTTTTAGCCCGTTTCTTTCCTGAAGTTGGAGTCAGATTTCCACTTCCAGAAGCGTAAAATTGACTGTTAGAAGCGACTGCCAGTCGACGTCCGGCATCTTTTTTTAGCCTCTTTTCTTTGGCTCGTCGGTTCTGGAACCACACTTGTACCACGCGCATGTCAAGTCCCGTGTCTTTCGAGAGCTGTTCGCGAATATGTCGAGCTGGTTTCGAACTGTTTTTGTATGCCGACTTTAGCACTTCCAGCTGTTTGGCAGTTATTGTGGTCCTTGGTCGTTTGTTAGATCCATTGAGATCTTCGAACTCAGCTAAAATCAAACTTTATTCCTCTAAAAGCTACAAATACAATTTAAACTTTCATAAGATCTCACTCTTTGAAGATTTGCTGTATTTAAACAACTAGACACTTTTTCATTTCTGGAATTGAAGGCAGCTGATAAAAAAAGAGTTTTTATCAAAAGCGCTTAGTTTGGCTAACCTTTGGACTTTGCCATTTCGTAGTCGTTCTTGCAGACCAGCTGCTGGTTCTCCATGAGGAAGAACTCCTCGCCCGTCTCGAGCAACTTGCTGCAGATGAGGCACTTGAAGCAGTCGAAGTGGTACACATGGTCATTGGCCCTCCGAATCACCTCAGTTGGCGCCACTCCTTTCTCACATCCCGAACACTTGGCCCCAAACTGGCTAAAAGAACAGGGGGGTTGTTGATCATCAACAGTAATATCAACATGATCAATGATGTCAGGGGGACCGACGTAGGATATCAAAGACTCGCCATCCGGCCTTCCTTCCTCATTATCGTTATCATGCTCAGTATTATCTAACTTCCAATCCCCAATAAACGAACAAGTCGAGTTCGACTCTTCGCACAGTTCGAGGAAGTCCACTTTGATAAACCAATTAATAATTTATCCAAAAAAGAAGATACCAATCAATTGATTAAAAACCGGATTGCTGCCAGGTTTATTCCAGGTAAAACAAGAAACTAATCAATTTAAATAATTGCTTGATTAATTACTTCAGCTTTCTACCAATCACATTGGGAGAATTGCGCCGCTAATTTTCTATTGTTGAAACTTGAGATCTCGGTGGCTACTTTACCGCAGCGGGACAAAAGAGCAGTCTCTTTTGAGCAAGTCAACATCATGAAACGAATGAGCAAAAAATTCCAGACCGAATGGCAGGTAATTCGAAAATTCGAACAAATTATAGAGATTTTGAATTTCTCCGCTGCAGATAAAACGCTCTCAATTTTTGACATCAACAATGTACAGTGCTGATTTAAAATTACCGGACACAACAAACATTGAAAACTTTAAACGCGTGGTTCTCAAATTGGGTTAAAATAAGACAAAAAGCGAGGAGAACGAAATTGCCTAAAAATTCACCAGAATTAATATGGTGCACATTTTCTCGAAAATTCTTGATCAAAATTTTACAAAATTTGTTTTTGTTTAATCAAGAATTACGCTGAAACTACTTTTTTTAATAGATGAAAAACATATGAAAAGAAGCCTCTTACACAGCCAAACAAAATTCTAGAAGGGTTAAATCTCCAGAAACCTGTATAAGAGAAAATATTTTTGCTTGATAGTAAAAAAAATGTGATTTTTACTTCATAAAACGCAAAATCTCTGCCTAAAAACAAATTTTAAACAATTTGCCCAAATTTTTGGAGATTCAATCCTGATAAAACCTTGTTAGACTGTGTAAGCGACTTCTTGTGATATTTATGTCTCATCTATTAGAAAAAAAAGTTTCAGCGTAATTCTTCATTAAGCAAAAAAGTCAAAATTACCCTTTTTGGGGTAAAAATTTGGTTGAAAATTTCGGAGAAAAAAAATGCACCATAGCAAATTATTTTCGTCAGATTTTGTCTAATCTTAACTCAATATGAGAAAAACGCTTTTAAAATTTCAGATTTTTGTTCGTTTAGTCCGGATAATTTATAGCACCACTGTACATTAAAGCTTTTAATTTTCATGCTTAAATCAACTAAGAGAACAAAACAGAACAAGACTGCTCGTATCAGGGTAAAGCCCTGAATGTTCAGACTGCCTTTTAAGGTATATGGAGCAGTAATAACATGTAAAATTAAATATAGAAAAAATAAAACATAAATGTTTTTAATTTGAGACTTTTATGAAAATCATCCCCCCACACGCCATATAAATAACAAAGTGATAGATTTCGCACCTATTAACATATCAATTATGGCAAATAAGCTTCCTTCAACCAATTTGTAACGATTTTTAAGACTGATTAAATCTACCCTTACGCGTTAACAGCGCGAAATATATCGCGCGTTAATTTCGCCAAATTGCCCAAAATGACAACCTTTAAACCCCCATAACTTTACGAAAAATGATCAAAGGTGAAATATCTTTTCAAATTTAAGCTCAAGACAACAATACCTTTTGAATGATATTTAAAAAATCCCGCCAAAAGTGGCTAGTTAAAAAATGGAAATTTGTCTGAAGAAAAAAAACCCACCCCGAGCACAAATTTTCAGTTACTTTTGTTACGAAAGTCGGAACAACAAAACTGCTGGTATCAGGACAAAGCCCTGATTATTCCGACTTTCTTTTAAGGTCTATAAAGCAGTGTTAGCTTTAAAAATTGATGAATTTTTCGAAAAAAAATTTTTTTAAACCATCCCACAACACACTATATAAATTTCAAAGTGATAGATTTTGCTCCTAATAACGTAGAAATTATGACAAATAGCCTGTTTTAACCATTTTGGAACGACTTTTATGAGGGATTAAATCTCCCGCTTAAGCGTTAATTGTCCCAAATTGGCCATGTTGGCAATCTTTAAATCTCTAAATTTATGAAAAAAGATCAAAGGGAAAATATTTTTCAAATTTATCTGAAAAAGAACCACCCGAGCACAAGTGTTCCGTTACTTTCCTTACAAAAATTTGGAACAAAATATTGGATTTAAAACAGTTTCAACATGAATGAAGACCAATTTTTGACATTTAGTACCACCAGAGAGAGTTAAATATGCAGAAAATTAGATCGGAATGTTTCTCTATTTAAATTTTTTCTCGTTTTTCAGTTCTTTCAAACTCGAGCCAATAAGTTGAGCTGTTTTATAGAACAGGACTTGCAGGTAATCAAATCAAGTGTGGTGTCATATGAAAGCCCTTTCAAACTTAATTCAGTTTCCGAAAAAAAAACTTTCCAAAACTTTTGCTTTTCCCAAAAATGTACCACCGTTAGTGTCAAGAAAAACTGTCCAAATTTCTAGCTCAAGGACGTGCATTGTGTTGCTAGTGAATGGATGAGGTAATAACTCTTACCATGAAAAATCGTTTGTACCTTAAGTAAGGTTTTGTCACGCTACTGTTCTTAATTATTGTTTTTCAATCCTGTGGATTTACAAGAAAACAACAAAAATTGGTCGAAAAATTCAAATGATCAATGATTCAAAGTTTTCGATTATCGTTACGTCTCCGCCACTCAATCGAAAGATTGGAAGATAGGATGATCGAGGCCCAACATAGTCCTTGCTCGCTGCTTGAGGGCGAGGTAACATTTCCCAAACCAGTAAGAAAAATCCAAAAAAACGCATAGTTATAAACAAGAGTCGATACAGCGATTCTCTTTAAAGAGCTGAACAGCTCGTATTTTGGTTCTTTGCCTTGTGGATAAATCGTCTTAACTTTTAAGTTGTAATCATAAATGATGGCAACATGAAGACTTACTTGAAGAAGTCCTTTTTGCAGAGCACTGTGCCATCCTTGGTGAAGTAGCACTTGTCTGAGAGGGGGACATGGCAGGTGTGACAGAAGAGACACTTGAGGTGGAAACATCTGTCATTCACTTTGTTCACCAGCTGGTCTCTAATCTCACCCCCACACGCAAAGCAGAACGACACTGGCTCATTCCCTGCTACAACACCACACCACACAACAGTCAGTAAAAAGTATGTTCAAAAAACTGAAAATTCATTAGGCGCAGATTTTAAGGGGGGTGGGGGGGGGGGGGGGGGGTACCTTATCAGAAATTCAGAAATTCCCCTGACTACTCAAATGATCTTCCTTCAAGTAATATTTTACGACATAAATTTAAGGTCAACTAAACCTAACGTTTTTAGAGTCGCGCCTTTGGCGCAATTAAATTTAATAATTCCGAGAAAAAAAATCCCTGGTCCGCTCGTAATTTCATCTGCGCTTCGTATTCTGGTCAAATCGACAAATGAGATGGATAGAAAACATAGCCTGTGTTTTTTCCGAGATTTTGGGTACTTCGAGAAAGTTAGTAGGAGCATCAATTAAAGTCTTTCTTTCGTAATAAGGTTTCCGAAAAGAACTCTCAAAAAAGTATCTCTGAGTAAAAAAAAATTTGGTCTGAAAAGTTACAAACTAACGATATGTTAAGGAACAGTGATAACGGAAAAACAGTTATTGTCCTGTTATGGTAATCATTAGCGGATTTCTGATGGGGAGGGGGGGGAGGCCACCCTTTTCCCTCAGGAATTCGACCCACTGACGACCCAAAGGGTTCACCTTTGCAATGTACTATTTTGAAATATCCCTTTTTGGTTGACCGACCCTTTGACGCCAATATATACTAAATTTGAGGGGGATATCGCGCCAAAAAAAGCGTTTTTTCTAAAAATGCCTAAAACGCCCCTTTTTTGCCTGTTTTTTTTCTAAAATTTACCTGCGGTGCAGAAAATTTGGTAAAAAAATAGGTTTTTTTTTTTTGAAAAACCGCCCCCCGCCCCTCGAGAAAATTCTAGATCAGCCTTTCATGATAATTAAAATTTTCAACTATCGAGGTAAAAATTTAAAATTTGACAAAGACTTTTTACCGCATGATAAACTTTCAGCTCAGCTCAAATAAAGATGATCTCATGATATGGCTATGGAATGGATTAATAGTAACCCAAGGAGTAGCTCAATTTAAAAATAATACAGACGAAAGTTATCACAAACCAATACAATTCGATTTAGCACAACCAAGCCTAACTGGTCTAGAGAAAGTAACAATTTAATATAAAATTGATAAAATTTTGAAATCGAGAATAAAATTTGGGATTTTTTAAAATCTTTTTTGATTTTGAGCAGTCCAAACGATGGAAAAAAACTTAAGATTTTCGGTGACAACTTCATTTCGAGACTTCTAGATAAAAACGTAAGTCTTTTCAAGAAATGAGATTCAGTACCGTTAGTTAAAAAAAACAATCAAGCAAAACCAACAAGCTTTTCTGTCATTATTTTAAAAGACGGATGTCAATAATCAATTTCTGTTTGCAATTTTGAGTACATTCGTGGTGAATTTTGTCGCAGCCTCAGTAAAAAAAACACCTCGGAGAGAAATTTCCACAAACTGAAATTATTTATTGAAACGAATAGCAAAAATATAAGGCGACTGGTTTAGCAGGTATCTATTTCGGGGGTGGCAGTTATTTAAGTAAATTTTAATTTTAATCAAAAACCTATTAACTAAAAGTTTCTTACCCAAAGCGTTTGAATTGGAGTCGCACTGAATGGTCGTGATTTCCTGCATATTAGCCAAATTGCAAAAAGTAATTTAACTAATGAACCTTGGGAGTAGAAATTCGACGGCTTTATGTGCGATCTATATTTTTTATTTTGATAAAATCCCGGTGCGGGCACGGAAAAAACGAGCAACACGGGGTTGTAAAACGGAGCAAAGCAACCAAATGATTATTATTCCTTCTTTTCCACTAAACTGACTCTGGGTACTTAGGAATGTCAATTGTTCAGTCCTTCTCCTAAAGACGTCGTTTCCCGGCAGAAGCCACAACTGATTGGACCTCATCTCCGCCAATCAGAATCAATCTACTTTTGTTCATATTTTTCCGCATGATTTCACGTGGAAGCAAGTGTTTCCTTTTAAAGATTACTCCTAACACAACCCAAGTGTATCATAGCCTAATCCCTAACATAGAATACCTTTATCTTAAAATGTGTAAACACAAAAGGAACTAATTTATGTGATTCTTTCACTGATTAAATATTTTGCAATTAACCTTGGGAGCATTAATTCAAAAAATGATTGAAAAACTTATCTCAAACATACCTGGGAATCAGACAAACTAATATATGCTTCAAAAATATTAATTTGGTTTTCAGTCAAAAAAAAAATCTCAAATTTTAGGAAAAAAATCTACTGAAACTATTTAAAAACTTTAAGAAACCAATCAAATTATTTAAGGCCAGCTTTCAAGAAAACTTTTCAATCTCATCAAAAACAAGCAACCTCAATTTTTTATGTGAGTAATCCACGTTCGATAATATACATTACCTTAATCTCAGGGATGGCGACTCCAAATGCCCGGCTTGGAAGATCACCGAACAAACGACATTTAGTTTCTTCCAGGTTTTCTGCCTCCAAAATTGGTTCGGTTCCATTATTTCTGCCTCCAAAATCGGTTCAGCATTAGTTTCTGAAGAACGCACATTGCATTTATATTAAAGCCCACTTTCTTTACAATTAAAAGCCAAACAGGTGCCTGTCAAAAAAACGTGCCATGAAAAATTTACCATTTTTATTAACTACAACAAAAATCAAACCGTCAAAAAGTCGGAGAAAAAATTGAGAACTCCCGCCTTCCAAATGGATTCTCTTTGTTTTGACCACTCTTGTTGAGTATGAAGTAACTAAGACCTGTGGTGGGTTCCTTTTTTGGGCTAGTTTAGATATCTTTCCATCTCAAATAATGCTCGTAGATATTACAATGTCGTATCATATCTCTGAAAAGCTCTTTCAGCAAATCATCTTCATTTTCTGTTTTTTTTTCAGACTTTAACATCAAATACTGCGGTTGTAAAACACTGTGCTACTTGTATGGCCACGTAGTACACCGGTTCAATTCAGCCTAGGCTGATCGGACAGATTTTTGATGTACCAAGAGGTTGATGAAAAGTCAGACTTGGTGCTACGTGAAGCATTTAGAATTGCATAATTTCATTAAAAACAATGTTTCATTGCATTATCATTTAGTTGTTTTTAACACAAGAGCTTCGAGACTCAAAACAAATAGATTTTAAAATTGACCAATAAAATCAACGATGAAAGTTGAAGCAACATACCAACTAGCTGATGGGAAATTAAAAGGAATTAAGAACACAATCATAAGACGAACTTAATCAAAAATGTACAAGAACGATTTGAGTTGTATCAGATTGGCTCAGAGATAATCTAGGACGGAGTGGGTGATGAAAAGATAGAGCTAGGAAATTAGAAAGGCTGATTCTGAGCCGCCCTTCTCACGTCAATCAAGCGCCAAAAGAGAAGAGCGCAAAGGCAAGTTCAATTTCATCGGCAATCATCTCAAATACCTGTGAATGTAGCGATACAAGCCATAGTTTATTACTCCAATTCGGGTATTGTTGCCCAACCGCCCGCGGGATTAAAGCGATAAGATTTAAGGATCAGGTGCGGGTGAGGCAGTAGTTATGATTGCACTCACAAAGTAATCATTTGGATCCGACATAAAGTCACACGCACTCCAAACACAGTTTATAACTGCAATTGAACACAAGTTCCAGATATTTAGATCCAGAAATAACACTAAAAGTTGGACCAGGAAGCTATAAAACCACAGCGCTCTAGGTACAAATTCGGCCTCAAAAAATAATTGAAAATATGCTACCAATTTTTGTGGATTTATATACTAAACTAACTGATTCAATATCTACTTCAATACTTCAGCCAATTTATTTCATCAAAAACCTGCGGTGTATCCTACAAAAATTAATTATTTTAAAATATCTGTTCAAAAATATAACTAGTGGTTGATTACGAATTCTTATTTTACAATTGCACCAAATGTCACCAGAAATGTATTAAGATAGGTATATTATCTACCGCTTACGAATACCAGTAACGCCTATGCCAGTGAAAAAATAATAAGTTAATAAATCCATTGAAACACAATGGTTGTATTTAGAAAAATACACTCGTATAATTATATCATATCTTTAATATCAAAACAGACTATTTAATGCGGATGAGATCAGACTAGGTCTCAATTATTCCATTAGGACCCGCCTTCAATGGAAGGAATCTAAATTGAGGAAATAATGGCACGGTATTTAAGAGTGTTTTCAAGTGTCAACGTGAGATATGGGAAGAGAAAAGCGAGAGACATTTGACACTATTAGGGAACAAAGGAGCCTCCAAGTTCATTGTTACTGTCTTCACAGCCTTAAGAGTCGCCAAGTCGCATGGATTCTCAACTTCAAATTCAACAGCTTGAATGTGAGGAAATTCTTACTACCTCGCAAAAGGAGGAGAAACCCTCATGAAGAGACCCAAGTTAACAGAAAGTTAAATTCAACCATCAGAATTCAGAACACACAGGTCTGAAACAAAGCGTGATAACTCAGTACAAGTATTGGACGCTTAAAGGAAAAAGGGAAGAAACGGGAGAAAATGGGAGAATTGCCAAAAATTAAGTTCAAGTCTGATATCCAAAAACTTATGAGAATAACCCCCCACTAAATATATTATTATTTTTTGCATGAATCGTCCAGCATTTAATTATATTCCATAGAAATAACTTCAACTTTAGAGGCAAAACAGCGATCGCTAATGGACTCAGATTGAAATGTCTGATCGGTACGTGAAATTGCTAGGGGAGAGGGAATGGGAGGGGGAGACAGTTGTGTCTGAAGAGTGAAGAGCGGGGCGAAAGAGGGACGGAAGTTTTGATCGGAAGTTCCAGCGGGGCTAAATGCCCGCTCCCTTTCCAGTCCTATTGTTCGATAATGGGATCTCGTGTCACTGCGGCTAATGGCAGTGCTGTTTGCAAAGGACCTCTCTGTATTTATCCCACACACAATCATCATATACACGCATAGGTCTGATTATCTACATTCCTCATTTTTATTCCTAACCAAAATTGAGATAAATTTCAGAAAACTCGAAATTATACTTTAAATGAATGGTTTGATCTGCAAGTCTGTTGTTCTGGGCTACAGTTATTATTAGCTGTATATAGGGGTATATAAATCTATAAAGGATCATTTTTTGTACGTTTTGAGAAACAAAAAAAAAGTATAAGTGCGCGTTTGTTTTTCGTTGCTCTCAAAACTCGACCAAGTGACAAAACAGAATAGATAGCAAATGATGGTAGGGCAGATTTAGGGGATATTTTTTTTGTCAAAATGGGGCCTTCATTATTTTAATAGTCATAGTGAAATCAATTTCGTCGTCCTTTAAAAAGTCATCACTATTTTTGAAAACTTTTTGAAAATCCTAGATCCACCCCTGTCTAAGTATATATCTATTTATCGACAGGGAGAATTTATAACTTAGATATGGACACAATCATAAGCGATCCAGGTAGACTGAAATTCCAAAAATTGCATAGACATAGTGCTACTTTTGACCCCATGGGACGAGAATGAGTCTCAAAATAGCAGGACACCAGTAGTTTCTAATTTGGACCACCTTATTCTCAAAACAGCAGCTCAATGATTAAATTAATTCTCTCTAATTTTGCACAGTAGGAGTTAACACTGTTTTCCTTGCCTCTTATTACGACGAAATTAAACAGCGATTAGGCATTAGTCGAAAAAGAGTTAGCAATAATAGCTCTTAGTCTTCTTTTTAAAACAATTTGTTTTTCATCACAAGTAGTTTCTTTTGGTTTTTCTCCGAAAACCTCAATAAAAGTGGTTAACATGATAACAAAAAATGAAATTTTACGTTCACTTGCGTTTTCTGACTTGAAAGGTTAAAAATTAGTGGAGTGTGATTAAATTTCGTGTACGCCCATTGAACAACAAAGAAAATTATTTCAAATTAGTAGATTAAAATTCATTTTAATTAAGCCCCGTTTGCATAAAACTATGAAGTGCGTAAGTGGCTGTTTCCATTTCATTTGCTAAGCTTAGCTTGGAAAAGTCGAAATTCCTATACTGTTTTCTGTCGTGGTAAATTGGGTAGAACAAAAACGGGGCAAACTAGCGGGACATAACGGTCCATTGGGACTGCTGGGGAGGGGGCGGGTAGTTGAACAAAAACAACAACAAGGCAGAAGAAAGGCAATAGAAAAAAGAACAAGGAAAGTCAAAGAGCGTTAATTTGTTTCGCGACCAAAAACATTTTTTAATTTTCATCATCATTTTTGTCATTTCATTTCATTTTGTATTTCATTCCCTCAATTCAAATACCCTACTTGCTAAACTCCCTTGTCCAAGGACCGATGCTAGATTAAACGGGGAACTTTTCGCTCTTTTAATTTCGCTCTCGCAGGCTACTTTTGTTAAAACCTCCCGCCATTAGGTAGATTAAAAAGTGCCCGTGTAACAAACTGTTAGTAGAACAGCGGCCCAATGGAGCGCAGCGCCTGTGGCCGATTTGTCGCCTGCGAAGCGCCAACAGTCAATTTAATACACGACGACTCAGCTCTCTCTTAAGTACCCATAACAACGAGACAGCAATTCCAATTCGATGTTTCCGAACCTCATGAGACAATTTTATTCACTCTACTCAAAACGACGAACAACAATCATTAATCGTTAAATATAGATCATTTATATGTCCATTTATGGCATCATTAAAAATTAATTCAAATTTTCATTTATGTTAATTCAATAAAATCGAAAAACATACCACATGAGATTTGAATGAAAAGATTTTATTTAAAACAACAATTATGACCAGAAGCTATTGTTTAGGTGAGACTTAACTTATGGCTAAATAAATTAATTAAAAAGGCCTTTTTTGAAAAATCCTTGAACTTTGCCAAAAGCAATTTATTCCCATGTTCTGAAAAGATGCCATCTCAAAGATGT